GTACAAGCTACCTAAAATCCTTTTTGGAAGCAGACAATGTCTAACAAACATGTAAATGAACATCATTAATCCTATAGAAAACATAGATTTCTCAGTTTTATTTAAATATAGCACAAATGAAAAATAGAGGAATTAAAGAGACATTTAATTTCATTGCCACATAAATTAATAGAATATAGTTATTGGCTGCATTTTGATCTTGGATCAAAATCAATATATAGTACTCATCTCTAAAGTCAAAAGTGGCTTGATTTAAACCATATAACTGAACAATGTGAAGCTCAGGTAACTGAAAATCAAATATTGTTTACATTCTTTCCTACTTCTAAAAGGGCAGAAAGCTATGTTCTGCAGTTGTATTTCATTAATTAATCTTACATACAATAGGCAGTATCTTTGCAAGTCTTGAAATACATCAGAATTTATTGCTTTTAAAAGTTCCAACATTAATATTGAAATCACTAGGCATCAATTTTCTTCTTGTTCTGAATATTTCATCTTAATTTATTTTACCTTTCCACAGCCAGTTTATGCCACTTATTTTGCAGGGGCTTTTCAGATTTACGAAAGAGAAAAAAAGTAGCAAGACACAAATGAGATCTAGAAAAGCACACGAAAGCTATAAAAACAGCTCATCCATCATCTCTACATTTTGATTCCAGAGACAGCAGTGAAAGGTGTTGTTTCCACACCACTCACCCAGCACACTTAAAAAGGTTTGCTCCATCACTTATACAACTGAAACTGATTGATTAGCTGCTAGAGAAAAATCAATACAAATATCCTAGAAAACACTAGCTTGTAAATTCATTCTGGCCCCAACAAAGTACTGGTCACCTCTCGACGATGTTTTTCTAGATATCTAAAATGCAACCAGGTGACACCCAGCAACCCCAGCCTTCAAACACTGTTAATCCTAGGAATTTTTAAAATCTGAATCTCAGCACAGGTAAGTGGTAAAAAGGAAGGCCCCCAACAATCTGTAAGAACAATGAGATGACACCCACAAGCTGCCTGGTAAATTTTAAATTCATATGCAGAACTCACCACAAAAGTCAAAAACCTTTTACACTGAGAAAGTAAAAATACTCAGGGAAAATGTCAAAAGGGCTAGGTGAAGAAAGGAAAAAGGCTAGGAAACCAATTAAATACATATATTTTATGTATAAAAGATACTGAAGTATCTATTTAAAAATATAAATAATTTTTAGTTTAGTGCTATCCATTCAAAAGTTACCGAGCCCTCTTTCTCATTTTTTGGCAGCTGAATGCACATTCACCATATTTTTAGTACTTTGGAGGCCATTTTATATTCAGAATGATTTCGTGATTATTTCAGAACCTCTTCTGAATGCTGCCTTGCCTTGGAGTTAGCCCTTAGTTTCTTCATTCATTAGACTAATAGGAAATGAATTTTTAGGAATATAAAATGCCTGATAAATGTGCTATTCAGAATAAAATTATGATCTTATATACGCTACCAATAAGAGCTATCACATGACAGGCAATCTGGGCTTTAATTGGCCCAGAGTGGGAAAATCAATGTGTGCTTCCCACGGCCAGCTGACACTAAACATGGACAGAAGGAAGGAAACGCCACTGGCAGGACAGGAAATTTAACTCCCACTGATAGGGTGGCTTTACACATCATTCTAACGCTCACCGGCAGCATATTTAGATTTTTCAGCTTAGAGCAACTTCCCATACAACTATGTTGTTCATTACAGAACAGGCAATCTAATCACGGTAGAAAGTAGCATTTTAGGGTTGCTGGCCCAAAGAATATTCCTAACATCTGAATTCTTAAAGAACTAAATATGCACAAGTCACAGGAAGAAGAACATGGGTTATTTCTTGTGGCATGTTTACCTTTGTAATTATTCTTCATGATTTTAAAATTCAAACTTGGGATCTCTATAAGATCATCAAAATCTCAATGTTTTTTGTAGAAAAAAGATAGTGCTATTCACTCTTTAAAATGTGACCTTACAGACTGATATTTCCTTTGGGGAAAAGGAATTATAAGGCCATCCTTAGCACAAATCTGTATTTCTCAAATTTAGAAAATGAAAGATAACTGTTACACTAAATAATTTCTAGCTACACATTTTTCAGAAAACATTTAAAAATCAAAATTTAGATGGAATTAGAGACCATTATCCTGACATATCCAATAAATGGAAAAACAAACACACATTTACTACTCAATTGGAATTAACCGATAAGGATGCTCGTGCACAGCCAGAAGTAAAACTCCAAGGAAAGCAGGTGAGGGCGGGGGAGGTGGCGATGAGCGAAAACCTACACTTGTAACCCTGACTCAAGCATCATAAAAACGATCCATGTAACCAAAAATATTTGTGCCCCTATAACACTTTGAAATAAAACAAAAGAAAAGAAAAACTGTCATTTGATTGTAGTCATTAATATCTCTGTTATGGATGTTGCAATATTCTCAAAAGATTCACTTTAAATTCCTTAAAATAAAATGTTGTCTTTGAAATACTGACATAGCCAACTACTTCACATATGTTACCTCAAATTCTCATAACAAACAACACTAACATTACAGGGATAAGAAAGCCATAGTTTGGAGAGGTCAGATACCTTATTCCGATCGTGTGGCTAGTTGGCAATAGAAACAGAGCAGTGTTTCAAAGCCAGATTCTGCCTATAGCAAAGAGCACCAAATAATTCAGGACTTCAAATACTCCTGAACACACTGGCTCTAAAAACTAGCATTTCGTTTGAACTCTAATACACATAAAACAAGACAAGTGAAAAATTTTACTAGTGGTAATTAAAAGATGCTTACATATCTTACCAATGATAAGAGTAATCTTCTAATACTTTCTGTACAAACAGCAATTGAATCGCTGCTAATCCCTGATATATTCTTTGATTCACTTACCGTTACTGGCCCAAATCACTAGGATATGATGATGTTAACTAACTAAAGTCCAGCAGAGCCAATACTCTGTACCTCTGTGGCTCTGAGGGCATTTCTACAGGTAAATCAGAGAGCTAAGCTTGAAAACTTCAGAAAAATCCTATAATCAGTTTGTAAAAATTATGTGTCTGTTATTTTCTCGGGTCACATACTACATAAACGTGTCCATACAACATCACAAAGACATCGGATCAAAATGTTAGTGTCAGTTACAAGTGAGGATAGACGAGTGTAGTAAAGAGAATACTTTGACTTCTTATCTGATGAGTTTATGGTTTTAAATTTTTCAAATTAATTTTCAGTTAAAATGAAATACAAGATTTTTAAAAATTATATACAGTTGCATTTAGAAATGCATAATGTTGAAAAGGTACTAATTAGCACACCTTCTAATTTGAAATGTTTGGTAGATCGATCAGGTATATTTAGTATCCCCATTATCTGACAGACATATAGAAAAACAACCAATATAGAATGCCAGTAAAGATACAAAAATGGAAGAAAAAGTATCCAATGTACACAGCCCTAAATTATAAACTAATTTATAGCTTTCATAGGAATGTTATAACCTAATTATAGCCTTAGAATACGGGAAGGGAGGTGGGAGGGGGAGGGGAAGGGAGTGGATGGGAGGAGGGAGGGTGATTGATGGGGTCACCTCTATGGTTTATCCTACAAGGGTACAAATGAATCTTTCTAAAAGCCGAGTATGAATGTCTTAATAACTAAGAAAATGACATGAAGGCCACGTTAATCAGTTTGATGAGAGTATTTCAAAATGTATGTGAAAACACCACACTGTACCCTGTGATTGCATTAATGTACACAGCTATGATTTAATAAAAAAAAATCTAAAAAAAACAAGATATCATTTTCAAACAGATGAGGTTTCTGTGCAAATTTTCACCCTTTCTAAAACATCCTTAAAGTTAATAGTCATGTTGCAGAAACGATAACCACTCAGGTTTTTCCTCACATCAGACAATAACTTAGCTCTAAAAACAGAGCCCTGACAAGAGTCAATGAGTTTCCTTCATTTCTCTTTCAACACGAGTTGAATGTGAACATTGGAAGCGACTGAGCTAAGAATACAGAGAAACAAATTATTGGGCGGTGTCAATAAACCAACCATGGGTAAATTTATCTCTATTAAAAGGAACATTCCAAATTCATGTTGGTAAAAGCTTTACATAGACTAAATAAAGAAATGAGTTTGGAACTCAGACTTTCTGACATTCAGGGTTTGAAGTACTGAAAATAGCACTCTAAGTTATTTGCTAAAAGGAAAAGTATATTGCCAATAACTATTAACCCACAAGATTAGAAGACAAGAAATTATCTCATGTTGGGAGCAAAAACACAACACTATTACATACACACACTATAAATAAAGACAAAAGAGGAAGTTTATGGTTTAAGCAGTTATATGCCAACACAACTGTGACTCACGTTAAAGATAAATCTTAAGTATACGCTGAGAGATACCTAGATAATCACATTTTCCAGCAAGTGATGACTCAGAAGTAGCTGGTCACCCCAAACAAAGCATTATTCTCATTAGAAGTGTCCCCAGAACCACTCTTTACTGGTCCACCATTCCTGTAAATGAGGGGCGGGGGGCGAGCTTCTCTACTGACTGACAGGAAAGCCTACCAACTTCTCCTTCAACAACTCTGGGAAGCCTTAATGAGCACTATTTTCTAAATAGTCCAAAAATGCCACAGAGAGAAGAAAGAAATCTTCACTCAGTCCACAAAAATCTTAACAGATACCAAAGGTTCATGGATTTCATTTCATCAATTTACGTTTTGTCTATTTCATAACAAAGTCTGAAATATGTCACTCACCTTTGAGTGATAATAGAACAGTAAAAGAAGAGTAATTAATGTAAATATACCTGAGTGACTAAATCTGGTACAATCTTCTATTAGTTGAGCTAAAATATTTCTAAACTTTTAACAAAGCTAAAGAAGGTATCTAAATTAAAGGATGACTGAGAAGACCGATACAACTTATTAAGAACTTTGCATATAATTCTAGAAAATCTTACCTTGAAAAGATTGTTTGGCTCTATCTACTAATTCATCAATTGGATAACTGGCCAAATTTCCTCTGGCATGTTTAGTTTTGCAGTAGGTACAAGCGTTGAGACACCTGTTCAAATGATAGGAAAAAAATGAGGCTCAAATTTTTAAAGATAGTGTGTATTTAACATGGGGGGATCCCAAAACATAAAGCACTATTTTAATAACATTTGTTTAGATTATATAAGGGATTCAAGAACAAATATTTGCCATGTTTGGCATATTTATTTTATTTTCACCAGGCACCAAAATTTGAAATTCTTGTAAGTTTCAACTATTTCAGAATGGCTGTGCAAATCATGTAAGTTATCTAAAAATATACATATTCATGAAGAACAAAGTTTATAAATATTTGTGATGATTAACCAATCAAAAGAAGTTCAAGACCCGCAGCTGTTTTTTGTAAACCACCAACACACCCATCGTATAACCAGAAAAGTTTAATATCACGTGTACATATTACTCAGAAATGACAAAGCATACTTTTAACTTTTTACTAATGATGTAAGAATAAATAGACAACATAGCATTCTCATAAGAAAATACACCCTTGAAATTTTTCAGATAATACATTTTACTCCCTGAAATCAGAGAAGGATATTAAAGCATATCTAGTGAGTGTTCTCTGAGATCATATACGAAAGTAAAAAAGCAGAATGACATTATTAGCTTTAGAAAATCTAAAAACAGACTTACTTCTCAAAACTATTTTATTTTATTTTATTCTTGAGACAGAGTCATACTTTGTAGCTCCAGCTAGAGTGCAGTGGCATCACTCAGGGGGCAGCGGCAAGCTGCAGGTTGCAGTGAGCTATGATTATACCACTGCACTCCAGCCTGGGCAGCAAAGCAAGACCCAATCTCACTGCAACCTCAGATTCACTGCAATCTCAGATTCCTTTGACTTAAGCAATCCTCCTGCCTCAGCCTCCTGAGTAGCAGACACTACAAGCATGTACCACTGTCCCCAGCTAACTTTTCTATTTTTAGTATAGACAAGGTATCACTCTTGCTCAGGCGGGCCAATAGTCTCTAACATAATAAAGAATTATCTTTTTAAAACTAAAATGCTGGTTCTGGTCTTATAATTATAAAACATGATTTAAATAGATTTCTTATTACAAAACAAAAGAAACAGATACAAATACAAAATACTAAAATAGTCTTATGCCAAAAAGATACGGCTCAACAGCACTGAACAAAACAAAAAAGAACATCTGTTCAGTAATTCAATTGTTATAATGAGTAGCAAGATTTTCAGGGACCATCATTATATAAATACTTTAAAATTTCACTAGTGAGAAAAATGTAACTTTTAATAATGGAACCTGACCAACGTGTAATTCCATTCACAGATGCCTTTACAATACAGAAGAACCATACTACACTTAGCAAATATGCAGTACTTAACATCTGATAATTTTTGCATGAAACCCTTAAGTTAGGTAACACACATTCTGAAATGTGTTTTACTATTTATCTGACTACATAATTTAAACTGCTAAACTTCCTTCCTCCTAACAATTTACTTTTGCTTTCATAAGCACCCATTGTGGCCTCTTATGAGTGGAGGTTTTACTCTCCCAATTGTATATCTTCTCTTTATAATTTCTTTTTTAAAAATTTAGATTAATTTGAGGGCACAAACAATTAGGTTACAATGTTTACATTTGTTAGCTAAAGTCCCTGCTGTAGTTCTGTCCTGCGCCCAGCAGGTGTGTCATATACCCTTAAAGGTGCCCCTTAGGTGGGAGCACACCAAGCCCTCCCCACCTTCCCACCCTTCTCTTTGTAATTTCTATCCTTTCCATAACAAGAGGAGAAAACGATTCTGGTGTCCTCTTCTAGGGAGGGTAGCTCACTTCTGTTAATCCCTGACAGAGGACCAGACACTGTTATTGATGTCTCATTTGACCTTTCCAGACTCCGGTGCTCCTATCTCCATCTTAACAGGCAAGAATCTACCTTAAGAAACCAGATAACTAACTTGCTCAAGGTCATGTAACAGCTGAGATTCAAATCCAGGCTTGCCAGATTTCAAATTCTAAACCGTTTCCATACCAAGCTCCTCTTTCCCAGAATAAATGTGTGTCAAACATTCTAACTATGTACAAATGCAAATAATAAGACAAGCAAATCATCTGACATGAAAAAGTAATATAGCATATTTAAGCTACTTAGAAGGCGCAGGCCGGAGGATCACTTCAGAACAGAAGTTTGACATCAGCCTGGGGAATAGAGAGACACCATCACTATAAAAAAATTTAGAAATAAAAAAAATTACCTAGGCCTAGACTATGTGCCTATAGTCTCAGCTATTCAGAAGGCTGAGGTGGGAAGATCACTTGGGCCCAAAAGCTCTAGGTTGCAGTGAACTATGATTATACCACTGCACTCCAGCCTGGGCAGCAGAGCAAGACCCAATCTCTAATTAAAAAGTAAAGTTGGGTGGCGCCTGTGGCTCAAAGATGTAGGCCACCAGCCCCAGCCAAAAACTGAAAAGAAAAAGAAAAAAAAGAAAAGAAAAGTAAAGTGATATAGCATATATTCAGAGAGATGGCCAGTATTATCCTCTTGTATATGCATCTATTTATTTAAAATATGTATTTCTCTCCATTATTCTTTGGAAATCTAAAGCCAAACTTCTTGTCCATCCACCACTGGGCCAAACCATTCATCCTTATATGTTTACAAGTTCTATTTTTCATTCTCCTGCCGCTTTTATGGCAGAATGTGCCACTTCATGTGACTTGCCTGTTGTTTTGAATTCTCCAGCTCAGATTCTCAAGCTCTGTCTGCAGTGTTCTCTTGAAGCCCCATGTTCTCTCTGCCTGCTTCCTCAAGTGTCTCATGGTCCACTCACCGCAGCAGGCCCTGACATTTACCTATGATTTCCTCTGTGACAGGCACCAAGTTAAACCAGCATCCTTCCAAGCAATCCGCTATGTCTACCACTTAATACCACTTCAGGTCTCAGGATCTCTTTCTCTTATTTGCCCTATGACCAATGGAGAGCCCCATAAATTAAGTGGACAACGTTAATGGATGCTACTGCCTATCAAAATCCAGAGATCCTGAATCTGAAATGTTCTAAATTTTTTGAGTGCTGACCTGATGCCACAGGTGGAAATTCTACACCTCACGGTATGTGATAAATTGAGGTCAAAATGCATCAGAACTTGGCTTCATGCACAAAATCATTTTAAAATATAAATGAAATTACATTCAGGCTATGTGTATAAGATGTATATGAAATATAAGTAAATTTTGTGTTTAGACTTAGGTTCCATTCTCAAGATGTCTCATTGTATATATGCAAATATTTCAAAATCTAAAAAAAAACAGAAATGCCAAACGCTTCTGGTCCCAAGCTGTTAGGATAAGGGATATTCAACCTGTACTAATATTTTTGACTTGGACTGTTTCTTAAAAGCTACTATCTTAAGAAAAGCCAGCTGGGGCAAAAGGCAGGGAAGAAAAACAAGAGGAGGAAGGAAGGGAAATATATTTATAACATAAATGGATTGATAACATGTAAAACACTTAAAATAGTGTCTGTAAGCAGTAAGTCATTAGTGAGTGTTATACATTAGCTGTTTAATGTGACTGTTTTTAAACAATTCTGTAAGGAAATAATTATGCCTTATCATGTTCCAGGTGTACCCATGGAAAGGATGTGTTGCTGATAGGCTGGCTTAAAAGCCAACTGTGGAAACCAAATCATATTTTCCTGTCTTACTTAATGAAGGTGGAAATGTATATCCCTCATGGAAAATCACTAATGAAAATGAACTTTAAAAAGAAAGAAAGAAAGAAAGAAAGAAAGAAAGAAAGAAAGAAAGAAAGAAAGAAAGAAAGAAAGAAAATAAACTAAAAATTTTAAATTAAACAAGATGATGTTCTGAAAAATTTACAATACTCAAGCCAGTAAGTATAAATATTACACAAAGAATTCAAAATATTCTTCCTGAACTGTTCCCTTCAGTTTAATTATGGTTGGTGAGATATCTTTCAAGTTCCACATTCTTTATTGTATAAGATGGGTTCATCTTTCCCCACAATACGTGATACCATTTTGAAAACGTGATAATTTCTTAAGAGCACATTTCTTAAAGCATGCTGCAACAGCACCAATTCAAGCATTAAATCTGCTATATCTTACTTTTTAAAAAGAGAGAGATTTGTTATAAGACACAGGGGGGAAATGCAGAGCAAAATCAGAAATGAAAGAATGAGCTTTCCGATGCTTTTTGGTTTAAAAACCGCTTTTCCAGTCACCAGGAATTATGTTGGCCAATCATTTCCACATGATAAGCTTCCCATAAAATAAAGAAATTCATAATAGAAACCTTTAAAAGACAGTTTCAGTTATCTGTAAACAATTAAATAACTGTCTTCAGAGTAAGCACACTGAGCCAATTTCTTCAACTGTCAGAAAACAAAAGATCTTTGAAGGTTGACTGTTGAAAGCCAAAACCAAATGAAATGGCTGTTGAACTTCAAGGAAGATGCAAAAGCTTGAGTAGGCCTCGGGACAGCTGTGACGGAGGGCAGAGCTACCACGCCGTGCTGACTAATCTTTACACAGGTTGCCCGATGGCCACAGGCCAGGAAATAACTAAAAGTCTCAAAGGCAGAATGAGAGATTAAGTATTTAATTTAGCAGTATAACTCAGAAGTCTTAAAAAGCATCTGTGGCAGAAGGTTTTTAAATTACATAAGCTAAACAAATGAAATAACAGTGAATTTTCACATGTTAAAATATTTCAAAAGTTTTAAACATTCAAACATGCCCGTTCAATACTCAAACTACATAAAGAAATTTCAACATCAATTTTTTCTTTTTAGAAAGAGCATCTTTAGCTATCACAAGTTCTGAAATAATTTAAAAATCAGAGCTATAGTCTTAAGAAGTCAACCATACTCCCGCCTTTTTACATGAGAGCAAACTAAAGCGTATCCTGACTCAGCCTTCTGCTTCTCTCTGCTTCAGGTGGAAAATAAATTGAATATGCAAAAACTACTCCGACTGGCATATTGATACTTCAGACCAGTATGTTCCATTCCACT